TTTTTAATGGTTAGCTTGCAGGTAAAATCAGGGATGCCTTTTTAAAAGCTGTGCCATGCTTTCAAAAAAATGTGCATCAGAGCAGCAAAACCTGAGCTTCGGGGAGAGCAAATGCAGTTTAAATCACAGTGAGATCACAATCAAAACAGCCAGCAAGGGTGTGAAACGATTCACTTCCCCTCCTTGGTCATCAGCCTTATTCATCGTGTCGCATTTCGGTACCGCTTGCCTGAAGCATACGTTTGACCCAGGGCATTAAGAAGGTGTTTTGACAACAACATCCAATAAAAAATGATCCTAGCAGGAGGAATTATGATGCAGAGGTCCCCACGACAGAGCAATTACCACATTGCTATGGACTCCATAGACCCTACCAGGTCTCAAGTAGCAATAGAGTAGGAGTGTCACCCGTTAGATCCATGCCAAATTCAGAGCTGGCTGATTTCCAGAGAGATGTGCAGCACTTGTCTCACTGAAAAGCTCCCTTGCTCCCTAGAGAATTTGGCAAAAATCCTCATCCCTAGCAAAGTTTCCAGCAGAAATGTCGTGCTCTGCAAACGCACCTAAGGGGACAATATTCTCCACGTTAACGTCACACAGATGGTCTCTCTGTGGAGATGACCCAAGGGTGGGTATCACTTTGCTTTGCCCCAGCAGAGGCAGAAGCAAAGCAGAGCAAGACTTCTGGCTCAAGCAAGGATCAGTAACACAGGATGCTCTCAAGGAGGCAAAATGAGGATTTTTCAAAACAGAGAGACTTCATTAAAGCGCTGACTTATAAACAAGGCATCAGCATATAACTCCCATAACTTTGGGTTTAGAAAAAAGGCTCCAAATCCCAGAAGAACATAAAGTGCTACTTACCATTCTGGTATCATTTTGAAGATGTGCAGGCTGCTCAGGTTATAGGCTGGGACAGGCTTCATTTACCCCACTGGAGCTCCTAATGACTCCCCCTGAACTCCAAAGAAATCTATTTTCTCCTGCAGTTATTGAAGTGCGTGCTTTGTGCATGCTTTTTGTGGCTCTACGACATTTCCCTGTGCACCTACTCAGCTTTAAAGGGTAAGAAGTCAACAGAAGAGCCATTTAGCATCCCTTAGCCTTGTTTCCAAAGGATATGTTTGGGAGTGTTACAGTCTCGGTGGCTGGGCTGGTTGACAACGTGCTTCCCAACCCTCAGGAGCGGGGAAGATGAACAATTAGAGAAGAGAAGGTAGATATCTAACGCTTGTGACCACAGGGAACAGGATTGGTGTGGTTATTTTGGAAACAAACGTTATTAGTGCTGAGAAGCTCCTAGCAGTGGAGCAGCTGACAAAAGAAAGGGAAAGCTGTAAAGGATGGGCATAGAAGAGATGAACAACAAGTCATTCACATTTGAAGAGAGGCATGGGTTTGATGGATGGACCACT